AGCCGGGATTTAAAAATGGCGGCTCCCCGCTTATGCAAATGAAGCCCGGGAAATTCAAATCCCAGGCTTCATTTGCAAGTGCGGTATGCCTACATTACCCTCCTAGTTCGAACTAGGAGGGTAGTGTAGACATACCCTGAGGAAGCAGACAAATTAATCTACAATGGATTTTTTAAAACAGACTATTTCTGTTCATATCTAAGTATGCTTAAAATAGCATTTTCCCCAATTCTTTTCTTGACTCTTCATCCAGATGGAATTAACCTTTGATACTTAATCACAGTTGAAATCCATTGTAAAGGGAGACAGAGAGAAGAATTTCATCTTCAAGAGATATATCCCTATTACTATCTTTTATTCTTGTCCTGTAGGAAAACCAGATACCATCACAATGAGCACAACAATTAACCTTTTACTTGCTAGGGATAGCAATATAGAAAGCATATCCTTAGCTGATGAAATTGTACATTCTGTAGTAGAGGGGTCCAAACACCCTTGACTTTACACCACTTGATATGTGAACTCCTATTCTGCAAGTGGCTTTGTAATGATCTGAAACTCATCCACAGACCCAAAGACTAGTCTAGTGGGTTTGAAATTTAAGATTTGTTTGGTTTTTGTTTTTTTCTGCCCCTCTCCCTCTTTGATGCTCTGAACATTGAAATTCAAAGGGAGGGAGGTACTTACATCTTAATTGCCCAGAAGCGAGGATGGCCAGAAAGCAAGTGTTAAAAATCAGGATGCTTTTCTTTAGGAAGGAGGGTAGAGTTGCCTGTATAAGACAAAGCCCCTAACCGTGGAACAGTTCCAATAATATAGGGACATCCGATCACCCTTGCAGCAGATAAACATGCTGGAAGCTATGAGCTTGGCCTATGCTATGGCTAACACTGACTCAGCTGAACCAGCCTTACCATCATTGAGGAATTTTCTACTAAAATTCCTTCATGCAAACAAATGCTGCATGAAGTTGGTTCATTGCCACCTTTAGGAAAGCAAATGCTGCAGATCATGCACTTCTGCATACAGCACAGTTTACTGTCTTAAATTGTGAGAAAAGACATGTCTGTTTGTCAGGGACCAAGAGATCCTGCTGTATCTTGCTGCTTGTGTGAATGAGACAGAACACCTTATTTCACTATGGAAAAACACACTAGGAAAAAAAGTCCTCATTTATTATTTATCATTTTAAAATGTTTTCAGGATTGCTTGAGTCTCTCATTTCTAACTTAGGCTATCTACAGATCCTATATACATTTCAGATAGTGCTGAAATACTGGAGAGGAATATGATAGAGCTTGGAAGTGCTTACAAGTTGTTTGGTCAGCCTTATCAACTCAGCTATTTGCAGAGGGACTAGTCCATATATCCTATACTACAGGTTGCAAATTATTGGATGGGGAGAGGGGATAAAATACATTATGAGCAAACTCCTCCTCCTTGAAATCGTGATGCTGCAACATTCTTTTTTCTGGGTGTTTGGCTGCAGTGATGCTTGCTCACTGAGAAAACAAATACGAAAACTGTAAAAAAAATCAGAGGGGATGTGGGAAGAAAATATGTATGTTTATTTAAGACAGTGGTCCCCAACGCCATGCCCCCGGGCGCCCGGCAACCCCGAAAGGTTGTGGACCTCTGATTTAAGACCTCAATGTAATACTTCATGTTTTACTGAAACTATTATTGATATTACAGTAGTGCCTTGAGGTCCTAGTTTGGATTATGCTAGGCACCGTACAAATACAGAACAAGAGCTCACAATCTCCTATATTCCATTAGGAATTTTTTATCCAGTCAGATCAGCTGATGATTTTTACAAATTTGTTCCCAGTAAATGAAATATTTTAAATGAATTTATTTTTATAATGCAGAAAATTAACCCCTTAGTGGGCCCTCTTTCTCCACACCTTTCCCCCAAATCTGTCAGTACCCACAGAAATGTAATAAGCCAGATTCCAGAAGATGATCAGATCCAGCTCTGGTTGCAAAAATGACTTCCTGTCTGCTCAGAGGGCAAACGCGACCAAAGTTTCACCAGCTCTGTTACCTCCCTGTTGAATTTTCTTGTGCCTCGAGGCTTTGGGGGGCTTCCTTAAAGCTGAGCGAGACTGGATTTGTCAGACTGAAACGCACACCGCCGGAGCCCTCCAGACTTCAGCCCGCCCCAGCCCAGAGGTGTGTGTGGTTACAGGGACTGGAGAAAAGTTCAGAAGGGTCCCCGTGCTCTGAGGCTGGGATGTACGGGAGGCTCTGGGCTGGGAAGGAGACAGGCGCGCCATGGAGCCAGCACTTTGCAGAATGGGCATTTCTGACATAACTCCGGTCCCTGCAGGCAGCCGGCCCCGGCTTCCAGCATCGCACGTGCAACACCCTGCATTTATGACCGCCTTGTTCCAGCTGAACCCCTCATCTCCAACTTCACCCTAGAGCAATGATTTTAAATGAAGCATATACATTTTCATTTTATTTTCCAAAAAACAGAAATTGGGTTAAGGACGCTAGGTGAATTTTCTAGTATAGAGTATATACAAACAGCATTTACATTGTGGGCTGATCATTAACATCGTTTGAGAGGAGGAATGGTCCTGTGATTAGGTTGTTAGCCTGGGACTTGGAAGACTTGGTTTGAAATTCCTCAATTCCCTAATTGCATTGGTTACAATTTCAATATCATTGGTTTCCTGTGGAACTTTTAGCAAATCACTTAACCCCATGTGCCTCATTTCCAAACCTGTAGAATAGTTAGTGCAAAAGGGTGTTGTGAAAATAAATTAATTTTCGCTTATGAAGTGGTTGGTTACCATTGACCCGTGCTGTGATTTCGCGAGGTGCGGGGCAGCCCACGCGCCTCGCGATCCCGTCTTGCAGACGCGGGGCTGCTTTGCGGGCGCCTTGCACTCTACCCTGGACGGAGTCGCAGTTCTGTGCCAGGTGTAACTGCATTTAGCGGGAGGTCGGGGGCGGGACGATGGGCAATCCCCAGACCTGTATCAGTGCGTTCGTTGTATTTCCTCTGTGTGCGCCCAGCTTGAGGAGGACATTGTGCAATTCGAAATCCCGTCTTGCAGACGCGGGGCTGCTTTGCGGGCGCCTTGCACTCTACCCTGGACGGAGTCGCAGTTCTGTGCCAGGTGTAACTGCATTTAGCGGGAGGTCGGGGGCGGGACGATGGGCAATCCCCAGACCTGTATCAGTGCGTTCGTTGTATTTCCTCTGTGTGCGCCCAGCTTGAGGAGGACATTGTGCAATTCGAAAAACAATTGCGTGTGACCGAGGATACCAGGGACCAAGTGCTGGAGGAGCTGCACAAAGCTGAGGAAAGCCTCTTCTCAGCAGAAGAGACGGCCACCAAGGTAGCGTGCCTCTGCCAAGAGCAAAAGGGAATTAACTTTTTCTTTCTCTCTCTCTCTCTCTCTGTCCGTCTGTCCTTTTCTGTCCCTCTGCACCCACACTTCTCCTTTGCGCGATCACATTGCCTGCTGCACCTTCCCTCCCTCCTCCCCTTTCCTTCCCCACCACTTTCCACCCATCTCACAGCTGGAGGACGAGTTGGTGGCTCTGCAAAAGAAGCTGAAGGGCACTGAGGATGAGCTGGACAAATACTCCGAGTCCCTAAAAGATGCCCAAGAAAAGCTGGAACTGGCTGAGAAAAAGGCTGCAGATGTAAGTGAGCCCCCTGCCCCCTTTTCTAACACACACACACAACACCCTCTCTACCCACCCTCCCACTTCCTGCTCCCTCTGCACAGGAAACAGGCCTGTGCTGCCTATGCTTGGGCCTGCTGCACCCTAGGGACTTGCTTGCTGTAGGGGCCAGGCACATGCTGGTCAGAGATGAAACCACACTGACTTCTTGCATGAGGTGTATACACCATCAAAGGCACTGACATGGATTTCTGCTCACTCAGCACATGTGCATTTCATGTGTATCCATCTGTCTACTAGAACTTGTAAGTAAAGGGTGGGATATGTATTTAGATGATTAAAAGGGGGCAGAGGAAAGAGGGAAAGAATACTAGTTCTCCTATGTCTGAAAAGTATTTGCAGTCATTTAAAGATGTTTTTATAAGTGAGTTAGTTACATCTGTTGTTCCATAGGCCAAGAATAGTAAGGATTGCTGTTTTACTCTTAGTATGGGGTCTTTTAAACATATACACAGCTACCTACTGGGGTACAAAACACTGAAGTACTACAGATCTGGTTACCATAACTCAGTGGTTCTTGAGTTGAAGGCCTTGTCTCCTAGATTTAAATGTCTAGAGATAATTGGGGTTAATAACTCACCCATCAAAGGATAAGACAGCCTTATGCATGAAAATCAGCCTGGAAGATGATACTTGCTAGGTCTGCAATCAGTAGGATAGAGATCCAGAGAGTAAGCTGAGTGTTATATATAGCTCAGTGCTTTATATGGTAGTGAGAGAACTTGCACCCCACCCCAAGCCTCATCTCACCCACCTGTTTGCCCCTGGACAAGCATTAAATAGTTTCATGCATGTAGTACATACAAATTTAGCATTTCGACAGATTTTTGTCCAGTTCCCTCTCACAACTCTAGGATTCAATTCCCTGTAATTGAATTTCACCTCTGAATTATAGGATTAGATTATTATATTTTTTCCTCAGCTTCTAAAATGAATCTCCAAAAAAGAATAAAATTAGGACTGATTTTTAAATATGCTGATGAATCAAACTATTTTTGGTGCAGGGAAAATACTTTGAAAGGTGAAATGTACAACAAATTTCTATTTGCTTTTTAAAAAAATGTTTCTGTCCCTACCATAGACTGTACAATTGATTTCTAGTTTAAGATGTGTGTGTGTGAGAGAGAGTCTATATAATATGAATCAGATGTCTTTCTTTTTCTGTGTAAGGCTAAATGGATGAGGGGCAGATCTCCAGCAGGACGTTTATTTAATTTGTTCAAAAGAGCCGCATATAGATCCAGGGGAGATATTCCTTATAAGGAAAAGTATGCAAACTATTTGGAAATAGCTTGCCTAAAGATGAAGGCAGGAGAGGGGAGAGAAATGTTACTAGATTCCCTTTATGAAAAGAAAGATGTCTCCTATGCAGTCATGATGCCATTTTCCTTTACTAGAAGGAAAACACCATTTTGGAATTAGCATGGAGAAGGTACAGATGGTAGCTAAGATGCCTGGCTTGTTTTCTCTTCAAGACAAAAAGGCAGAGATTTAAAAACTGCTCTGCAGTTCGGTTCCCTCCTATATACAGTGTCCCCTGTTGTGAAAAGGGATTGCAGGGAAGCAGATCTGCAGAGTATGTTTGGAGCACAAGTCGTTTATTCGAAGTATTCCTCATACTGCACATAGGTCCAAGCTGTAGGAGAGATCTGTCGGGAGGGAGAGAGGAGCGCTCCTCCGAGTGGGCTTACTTTAGGGGTTAGGAAAAGCCAATGACTCACTAAAACCACTTCTTGAGAGCCCGGGGGGAACAGCCTTCTGAGCAGGGGTCCGAGATGTGAAACCCACTCCACAGCCTCTCTGGCAGGCTCCAGCCCCTATACCTTAATCCCCCCAGATGCCGGCACCCTCAGCGATTCCGTCGGCTGACCCGGCCCCGGCTGCTGGTCACCATCGCTTTGCGATGCGGGGAAGGGAGGGGAAGAAAAGGCACCAAACAAGAGGCGCCTCCTAACAGCCCCTGGCGTTCCACCCACTTGGGCTGGAAACTTTTCAGGAACCGCCCGTCCCGCTCCCTCCCCGCGCCCATGAGCAGGGACCGGTAGGTCTCCATGTGGGCGGCAGATGGCGCTGTCGCCCCTCGCAGCCCGGCCGGTTAGTCACATCCCCCCGCAGCGCCCCTGCATGAATGGAGGAAGAGGG